GAGAGAGAGAGAGAGAGAGAGAGAGAGAGAGAGAGAGAGAGAGAGAGAGAGAGAGAAACATATCTGCAGCTTCTGATGCATACCTATCAGGAGATACACTACGGTCTTCAGCGAAATAGAACACACAGTCATTATCGCGGCATGTAGAGTGAAAGTTAACCCAAGTGCACCTATAATGACTGGGTGGACACTGTACAAGTTTGGGGTGAAGATGGTAGGCGCAGATCCAAGAATCGCCACATCAAGAACGACATGGATGGAATGCAAGAATAATAAATACAGTGGGAGACTCGAGAATATCAACCTGACTTGTCAGACTCGATATAGATCAGCCTACTGTGCGTCAGAAGCACAGCAAACAATTGTCAATTTTCCAAATTGAACACTTGTCCCTGCAGAAGCTCCGCAGCGCTCGTCCGAACCAATCATCTGGTTAATTTACTAATTTCTTCTCCTCATTTTCATTCTCATCCGAACCAACTTCAACCAAGGTATCGGCTATCTCAATGGCCGTGCTCGAGTTCTGATCTATCCTCTTTCATTTTTAAATTTTTTCTTTTTTCTTTGAGACGGAACTTCACTGAAGTGGTATTTTTCCATTTTTCTTTTTTTTTTTGAGACGGAACTTCACTGAAGTGGTATTTTTCCATTTTTCTTTTTTTTTTGAGACGGAACTTCACTGAAGTGGTATTTTTCCATGATAAAATGTGAAGTACTGGAGTTCTGGTCTATCCTGTGCAAAGCGCTGATGACAACCGCCATCTCCGTGCGCTTGCACGTCAATGACCCAAAATCCAGAATTGTTCGAAACGGAAGATCGTCCCCCTTTCTCGGTTCCACTGCGTTTTTCATCCACTGGACTGAGCCCTTGACAGGGGACTTTGCCCGGACCTGACCTGGCCGGGTCACCCGGGCCAGTCCGAGGCCACTCAGGCGGCCCGGCTGGTAGCCCAGCCCCGCAGTTCTTTACGCTTTACCCATAGAAATAATTTATTGACACAGGTGACAGGATTTTATTATTATTATTTTCTTTTGGCAGATGGCAAGGCTACCAGAGCGGCCCAGGGCCACTTGCCCGGTCGGGTCAAAAATAAAAATAAAAAATAAATATTATCTACTTTAACTTTTTTAAAGTTTTTTTTTTTTTTTTTTTTGAAAAAAAAAAATGGTAGGGAATAAAAAAAAAAAAAAAAAAAAAAAAAAAAAAAAAAAAAGAAAGAAGAAGAAGAAGAAGAAGAAGAAGAAGAAGAAGAAAAAGAAAATCAAACTTATTAACATCAAGCTGGGAAACGGGCCCGGCGTCCCTTACAAAAATTTGCCGCAGCCCTGAGCTGAGCAAGGCACTCCGGCCAGGCAAAGCTCATGCCAGGCAAAAATCCTTCTTCTCATAATCTATTACACCAGTTCTACGAAGTAATCTAACGTCAGAGACAACATCATATAGTAACCTAACCCGTACAGGAACAACCATCATTAACCCTAACCACGCAAGAAACCTAAAAAGAAAAATCACAAAACAGCCCTAAACGCCTAATGAACCAACAACAGCAAAACACAGTTGCAAATCCCAAATCCCCAAATATACTAATTAGAGAGGGAGCGGTAGTATTCAAAACTCTATATCCTACGCAGTCATTAAAAATTTTCAAACTCCAATGATATATGCGTCCACTCTCTCTCTCTCTCTCTCTCTCTCTCTCTCTCTCTCTCTCTCTCTCTCTCTCTCTCGCCTAACTTTAGCTAACACAAACCCCAACACCGTAACCATGCAGAAAACCAGTAAAGAAGAAATAAACTCCTCAAAACAGCCACAGATTATGTAATAAACCAGCGGAACTTTACTACCAATTGGCCATCGTAACTAAAGAACGAAGAAAGTTGTCACCACAGTAGGAAGTCTATTCGTCGGCATAAGTTCACCGGCAGTAGGGAGAGAGCTCGATCAAACGATCTGTCGTCCCGCTCAGCAACCAGAACCGGCACCTATCAGCTCCAATGCTCCTCATGTCGCGACTTTCATGGTGACGTTTTCCTTTAGTCAAAGCTCCATATCTGGAACCAGGGGATGAAACCCCTGATCGGTTGCAATTAGGTAGGCGGTGGCAACCAGGATCTCGCCCGTCAGTTGTCCCCACTTCAAACACCGTCCATTCGTCAACTGAAAAGGATTCCCGGCAGATACCGACCGAGACCGGCCATATCCAGGGGTTTGATATCACCCCTGTGAAGCATACACCCCACCTGCGCCCGTGCGCCCTACACCACGTGCCGCCCCTGCCATGCCGCCAGCAAGCTCTGGCGTGCGAAGCCAAACGCTCGTTGACCCCGCTGTGCGATCCCCCGCTGCCCTGTCGCCGCCATAGGCAACGAGCTAGCGCTGCGTTACCGCAGCGCTAACGCGCCGCCCCCAGATGCGACCCTGAGGCAAAAGTTGTTCAGTTAATTTTTCTGCATAACATAGTGTTTTTTTTTTCAGATTTTTTTTTTTTTTTTTTTTTTTTGCTGGGACCTTTGGCCATTGCACGGCCGGGCCGCCTGGGCAGACAAGGTGCCCCGGGCAGCCCGGTAGGTAACCTAGGAAATAAACACAGGAGGCGCGATCGAAATCCCAAAAATCGAACCACCTCACCCCTCTCTAACAAGAGAACAAAGGGAAAAAAAAAAAAAAAGAAGGAGAGAAAAACGAAGCGGACCGCCATCCCTTTCCAAAGAAGCGGATCCCCATGACTTTCACTCTTTTTTTTCACTTTCGCTGCACATTCTGTTTTCCATTAAACCACCATTACCTCAGAGCCTGTTTTCGCCAAGGAAGCAACAAAGACCTGCGCGCCAAGCTTTGCTGAAGCGCCAGCACGACCTCTTTTTCTTCTTCTTTTTGCTGGTGCCGCCAGCCGTTTTGGTGCGCACGCGAACTGTTCGCCCGAAGAATGTGGTTTGTAACTTTGTAGAAAATTGGTGCGTGTTCGAGTTTGCCTGCAAATGGTAGCGTAGGGGTAGTCTAACAGCCGCGAATCGGGCTCGGTGTCACTTACAGCTGTCACTGTGTGGTGTACGAGGAGAGCAGAGCGACACACTTCGGGCGGGGCTCTCCCTGGCCGCTGTTAATTAAAAGGTGGTTCGAAAATACTCGGCCTCCAAACTTTCAGGAGGCCGAAAAGAAACGACGGCCGCCGATCAGATTGATCAATGTCGGGCTCGGCCTCCTGAAAGTTCGGGAGCTGGCTAGTACTTGTCGAACCCGGACGCCAAAGGTACTAGTGGTTTAAGAACGCAGAATGACCAAAGGTTGTAAAAAATGCCTGGATCATACGACACCTGGCTGCCCCTTGGTTAAAAAAAGAAGTTAAAAAAAAAAACCTGTTAAACCACCAGTACGGATGCTCTTATCACCCTGTCTAGTACAATGCGCCGGTTAAAAAAAAAAAAAAAAAAAGAGGTTTCCCAGCCATTTTTGTCAGAGTCACGGAGTGCATGCGGGCGTGACTCTGGGGAAGTACTGGGGCGCTGTTTCGCTGGACACCCATGCAGGCAAACCGGGTTGCATGCGAGGCCCATTTTGCCTCAGTGGGTGGATATCCAGCGAAACGGCGGCCCGGTACTACTTACCGAGAGTAGCAACGTATGCGTCGCACGCGACTTGTTTTGCCTTGATACAGTGGATAGCCCATGCTGGCAAAACGGGGGCAAGGTCCCACTTGCACGGATTAGGAGATTTCGGCCGTTGATCTCGGCTATCTACGGTCTCTATCTCTTAATTCGTGCAAGTGGGACTTAGCCCCGGGTTGCATGTGAGGCCCATTTTGCCTCAGCGGGTGGATATCCAGCGAAACAGCGCCCTGGTACTACTTACCGAGTGTAGCAACGTATGCCTCGCTCGCGACTTGTTTTGTCTGGACCCGGATGGATATCCAGCGAAAAGGGGCACCCCGGTACTTCCCGGGGGTTGCGGCTGCTTGCCCGCCACGACTCTGAAAAAAAATCAAAAAATGGATAAGAAGAAACGTACTGGCGCATTTAGATTCGGGTCTGGGCTGGTAGCGAAACCGGCAGGCCAATTCGGAAAGGCGCAGCTGCAGGCTCGGGGGCCTTTTGGAAATTTGGAAGGTCCCTTCATCAACTTAGGCTTGTGTGAAATGGTGGTGGGTTTAACGGTTTAATGTAACATATAACACATGTACCAAAAAAAAAAAAAAAAAAAAAAAAAAAAAAAAAAAAAAAAAAAAAAGAAGTAACATATGTACAAGTAACTTGAAGTGAGCACAGAAGGAAATACTGCTAATCGCCAACCCTTTCTTTTATCACACCGCTCTCGCTAATGAAAGCATTGCCCTTCCATTTGGATAATCTGATTTTTTTTTTTTAATTAAAAAAAAATGAAAGAAGGATAATGATATCTGATTGACTTTGTTGAGTCTTTGCTGTGCTTTTTTGTTTTTGCTATGCTGGTGTTTCTCGCTGCCAGGATTTCAATATGCACGCAGGACGATGTTGACGTTTCTTCGAAGGAACTACAAGAGAGGAGGGACCCCCTGATGATGCCTAAACAGCCGTTGGTTGTTAATTAAACCACCAGTACTTGGCCCAGCTATTGGCCGCCGAAAAAAAAAAACAGTAGAAAGTTGGAAACGTTTCTAGTCGGATGAATATGGGCGCTCTTGTAGTAGCCCGTACGTTTCCTAAAATCGTGGCGCATTACCGGGCACGACTCTAGGAAGTACTGCAGTGGTTTAATTTTCTGTAAATTTTCTGTAATATAATATGTACTATGTACTATGTAGTAATCAAATGTGTAGTAGTTTTTAATGGAATAATATAGTATACAATTGATAGCAGACATTGGTGGATGAAGGAGGGTGCTATCTTCCTCCACGCCGATTAGGAGTTTTTTTTTTTTTTTTTTTTTTTTTTCCCTTCCGGGAGCATCACCCAGAAACAGACCATGCATCATCATGGAAACCCCTAGCAACACATAGCAATTCCTTTGGTGTCCTTTTCACTCCTCGAGTCCATTGATATTTTACACGAGTCTTTTTTTTTTTTTTTTTTTTAACAAATTCCAAAATGCCAGGGAAAACTCTGATGGACCGATGCACGGCCTGATGGACAGAAGGACGGGCTAACAGACCGATTAGACCAACTGCCAACGGACCAACAGAGCGATGGGCCAATCGACCGAAGGACCGACGAGCCGACAAACCAACAAGTCAACCGACTAATGAACCAACGGGACAACAGGCCGATAGACCGACGACAAACAGGCCAATGCTGAGACCGACAGATGGATGTGCCAACTGGGATGGCCTGATCATCACTGATGGACTGGTCAATGGACAAACTGGCTGACGGACGGATCTTTTTTTTTTTTTTTTTTTTTTTTTTTTGAAAAACAACCCCCTTCACGGACCAATGGACCAATGAATGGATGGACCGACCAAAGGACGAACGGACAGACAGACCAACAAACTGACGGACTAGACCGATGGATGGACCAAAGGACAGACCAGATGGTCGACGGGTCAACGGTCAACGGACCAATGGACCAATGGACCAATGGACCCATGGATGGTTGGACTGACTGGAGGACGGATGGACAGACAAACAGACTGACGGACCAGATCGACGGATGGGTTGACGAATCAACAGACGGTTACAGACCGATGGACCAACGGATGGACGGAGATACCAACTGATGCATGATCATGTGAAGATGAGCAATGCACAAGACCGACGGAATGCCAATGTGATGAGAAGGACTCAAAATAACAATTCGAAGCAAGAACAAGCAATGTGCATCCAGACACGAAACAGAATGATGATGCAATGTTGCACAGCAGAAGACTCAAAGATATGACCTGACACATCAGACTCAGACTCGACTCATATGATGTACATCATTACACATGTCACACAGCAAGGAGGGGCATCATACGCAGAAGAAAGGTCCCTCCTTGGGCACACACATGATGAAGAAGGCACGGATGATTAAGGGGGAGGATAGACGAAGAAAGTGTGGGAAGAGACGACGAGTAAAAAAATAGTGTCGTCCAAAAATAGTCTTCCTCAGACTCCCTGTCAGCCAATGTCTGTCCTCAATATGTTGAATCAGATCCTGGGCACTCATAGGCCCGAAAAACTCTCTGCCTGAAATCTCTCTCTCTCTCTCTCTCTCTCTCTCTCTCTCTCTCTCTCTCTCTCTCTCTCTCTCTCTCTCTCTCTCTCT